AGCTTCTTAGTGCTGTGCTTTAACCCACTGCACCACCAGGGAGGGCCCAAATTTGTGATTTTTAAAGGGGATTTCAGGGTCTGGAATGGACTCGGGCCTAGGAACATTGACCTTGGTTTGTCCGTGCAGAGTCCATTCATTTCAGGGTTATTCACTGTGTATCTCTCAGTGCCCGCACCTGAAGGAGGCAGGAGGACAGAGCTGATGGGGTGGTCAGAATTTTTTTTAAAGATTTATTTATTTATGCAAACAGAACTGGGGTATAAGCCAGAGGTGCAGGGTGGTGAGAGGATTCACCAGAGATAGAGTGGGGAGCAGAACAGACAGATTGAAGTACACTGCTGAGGAGAGCAGTGGGTGGGTCAGGAGAGATCTGCTGAGCCATGTGGGTCATCTCTGGGGCAGGCGGGGATCAAACTCATGCTGAAGTGGCTTTAGCTTCTTAGTGCTGTGCTTTAACTCACTGTGCCACCAGGGAGGGCCCGGGATGGTCAGAATTTTATGAAGGGGGCAGATGCATGAATCTGTTGGGGTTGCAATGTATCACTAGGGTGATGTGGGCTTTCTTCTGGTATTCAGAGAAGGTACAAATTGGGCCTTTATGGCCAAGCAGGTGCATGGCACATGGACAGAGTATATGTGTGTGTGCTTGTATGCATGCCTGTGCATGTGGTGGGGGCTCTGAGAGTGTCCCAGAGGGCTGAAGCAGGCAGTTGTGAGGGTGCAGCTAGAAAGTTAGGGAAATCCCAGCATGAGAAGGGACCATGAGAGAGCTGATAAGGGACAGTCCCAGTCTGTTGTGGACAACAGTGTGGAGGGAAGCAGTAACCTCTGTGGCCAGGCCTGGTCACAGACAAAGTGAGCAGTGTTGGAAAGTGTGAACTGAGGTTGGACCACAGGCTTGGCCAAGGAGCTTGGAGTGGTTGGCAGATTCTGAACATCCATGCTGTGCTTAGGGTTGCAGTCCCTCTATATGCAAAGCTACAGTGATATTTCCCAGTCACAGCCCTTGAAGAATGCCCTGCCTGGCACACCCAGGAAACAGCAACACTCCCCTCCCCCACCTCCAAGACACACACATACACCACCCCTTCAGGCTGATTGCAGATGTTGCTGAATCTGACATTCTGTATCCACAACCTGGCTGCACCCTCAATACTTGGGTTCTCTGGGGTAGGTCAACCCCTGGATCTCCAGTGTTTTATCTACAAAACAGGTAAGAAAATGCCTACTATACTAGAGTGATACTAGAATGGGTGATGCTGTCAGTGACCCCCCAGACCCTCTCCACATGGACAACCTACTACAGCCACAGGCTTTGGCATATAGTACTTCTGTGGCTTTTGTTACATTTTAAGAGCAGCAGCTGACTGCGAGGGAGACCAGAAGCTCCCTTAGGCCAGGTTTGTTTTGATAAATTCCGTTAAAAACATCAGCCACCAATACCACTATTGCTGGGCAGGGTGCCAAGCTCCCAGTCTTTGGTTCATCATTACATGGTTCCTGTGAAAAGCTGTTATTATTCTTGCTCACAGGTAAGGCAGTTGAGACTCTGGGTATTGGCTACCTCCTGGAAGCCAGTGCATGTTGGAAAGATGGTCAAGCTCAGGCTCCATGACATGAGGGCCTTCATCTTTTCTCTGTCTCGAGGGCCCCAGGAATGGAAAGACAAGTCACTGCCTTTTGGGGTATGTTTCCTCCTTGGCCCAGAGGAATAATGGGAAATAGGCAAAGGGCATAAGCAGTTTCTTTCCAGAAAATAAACATACAGCATCTTATGAAGACATGAAAACTTGCTCATCTCACTTGAAATTATAAAGACATATTCTAAAGTGACATGTTTACTCATTAGATGGGTCTAGATAAAACTACATGTCAGTGAGGATTTGGGAATATAGCAAATTTCACTAGTTACGGGGAGTGCTCGAAATTCACATGATCTCTAGGAGGGCCGTTTTTCAGTATCCAACATTTTTTTTCATTATCTAAAACTTCTGGGGGTTGAGGGGAATTTATCTAAAAGCACATAAAATGCTACTTACAAGGGCTGTGATGGTAGCACTGAATATGGTTACAAAAATCAAAGACTGTTAACAAGCATATATCCATTTGCCGAGAAATCGGTTAAATAAAATGACCAAGTCATTTGTATATTCATACTATTCATACTATAAGAAAGTGGGCTAGTCTGTATATGGGAATAAAGGCACAATTTTTATGATATATTCTTAGGAATAAAGCAAAATGAAGTAGAATACATAAAAAAAGTTTTGTTATTGGACATCAAAAATAATTGCTTATACATATAATACTTCTAGAAGGAATCTCATAAATCAGTACAATAACTTCCCTTGAGGTAGAAAGTTGTCTTTCTTTTTCTTTTCATTTACTCTGAATTGATCATTCAAATTTGTCTGTTTTGTTTCTAGCTCATGCTGTCTGGGCTCCCATGTTCTCTCAGTCTCAGAAGGTGCTCTACTTAAGGTCCCCACTGTCTACATGTCAGTCACTCAAAAGGCGACCTGACTTGACTTGTCCCACCCTCTGCATTGATGAGGGGCCTTTGCTGCTCACTGGAGACAGAAAACGCTACCAGTGCCAACACACAACCCCCTTACCCCTGCTTGCCAAGGTGTGCTCTCAAGGGACTCTGTAAGCCCCAGAAATCTCCACCCACTTGGGCACCCTTGGAAATGTCCAGCTGAGGCCTATCCATGTTATGTGACTCCCAACGTTCAGGTATCTGGAGGGACTGAGCAAAGGCTGAGAAGAGATTTGGGACTTCATGCAATCCCTTCTGTTTAGCCGGAGGTGCTGGGTTCTTTTTTTTAAGATGTTATCTATTTATGCATATAGAACTGGGGTACAAGTCAGAGGGGTCATGAGAGGATTCACCAATGACAGAGAAGGAAGCAGAGCAGGTAGATGGACGCCTGCTGCTGAGGGGAGCAGCGGGTGTTCAGGAGAGGTCTGCTGTGCCATGTGGGTCACCTCCAGGGCAGGGATCAAACTCCCACCGAAGCAGCTGCTGCTGTCTTCACAGTGCTGTGCTCCAATCTGTTGTGCCACCAGGGAGGGACTTAGAGATGCTGGATTCTACATACAGCTGCCAAACCTGGCCATCTCCTTACTTAGCATGGATCCCTCCTGCTCCCCAGCCAAGGACACGGCAATGGATTTCAGCACATGTGTCATTCAAAAGATTTTTGACTTCTGGGTTTTTGGAAGTAGCTGAGCCCAGCTGCGCCTGGCCGAGGGAACAGTGGTCCATCTCCCTTTTAACTCCCAGTTGTGAGGAACATGTAAGCACAGACAGGATAAAGACACATCCTGCCTGAGTGATCAGAAACAGGGCTCCACAGTCCTCCCACAGCAGAGATCCTGCCATAAATCAAGTCCTTAGGGTAATCTGGAATGGTATGCAAGCAAATGCCCTATCCTCATCAGTTTCCTGGAGGGAGATATCTACAGCCACTCAATGTTCAAGGCCTGAAACTTGAATCCCAGAGAACCGCTGGGAGGGAGTGGTAAGGTCCAGGCTCTAGGGTGGGCAAATCAGCCCTTCAGAGGCTGATTTGGACTGCCTTTCCTCTATGTCAGTCTTTCCTGGAATGACAGTGGCTCTGTCCCCTCAACCCTGCATTACACACCACAGTCTCTCTTACACACACACAGACACCCATAAACTCATAGACCCACTGTTTCATGAAAAATGAACACAAAGATGCCTGACATTTATCCATCACCTGGCACGAGTCACTCTGTGCTGATCCATTTGTCAAGAATTCAGTTCTCACAACCCCATGCAATAGATGATGAATCTACTGCGAAGACTTGCCGCTGCTGCTTGGCTAACTTGGCTAATGGTGGCACACATAACCCCAATGAGGTAGGGAGGCCCTCAGTCCCATGATGCCTGTCTGTGCACATCCACACACACCAGGACATGTAGACATACAGGGGTATCTGATGCACAGAGACCCAAGCTCCAGTCCTCTCGGTGAGCCACACACTCACTGAGAGGATTTCAAAGAGTATAAACAAACGGGCACCTCCATGCCCATATCATTATCGTATTCACTTCTTAATGTGATCATACTAACGATTCAGAATATCTCCTTTCTGACAGTCTCTAATAATGAACCAGGGTGGGGGTCAGGGGATAAATATTCCTCTTGATAAAACAAAAGTTTTTTTTTTTTTTTTTTAAATTCAAAGGCCCAATGACAGAAGAGGGGTGGAAGGAGGCCCAGCAATGTTTCCCAACATCCTCACAAAAAATCTCAGGGTGTATGATTTCCTGTCAGCAAGAAAACATGTGTTAGCTTTAAAAAAGCAAGAGCAAGCTTTGCCCAGGCACTAGATCACAAAAAGTCAAGGGCAAGTCAGCTGTGGGGTCCTGCCCATATCTGCCTGTCCCTCCCCACAGGAGGCCAGGAGACAAGCGCCCTGGAGAGGAGTCCTGGTTAGGCAGAGTTTAAAGGGTACTTAAAATCAGCCTAAAGCTTGATCATGCTCCTGGCGGGGGGCAGCCCAAAAAACAACTTGTGCTCTTTTCTCTTGGCCGCTTCCTCTGCCTTCACTCTCAGATCCTCCTCTATTGCTTGTTTCGGGGAAAGAGGGGGGAGAAAGTTTCTTGCCCCAGATACTTCCCAGTTTTGGCATAAAGAAACAGAAAGCCAGCGAAAGCATGCAAAGTGGTGGCTTGGAGGCCTTTCCCACGTTTAGGGACTCCAGACCAGAACTCTTGCTTCGGGAGGACCGGGAGCCTCGCGGGAGGAGCCCCCAGTGCCGCTACAGGAACCCCAAACACTGAGCCTAAAGACCCAGACCCGGAGAGTCTCTGGGCTCTGAGCCCTGCGTGCGCTTCTTGCACTAGCTCTAAGCACCGGTTGGAGTTCCAAGTCTCCTCCAAGTCTCGGGGCTGCCCTGGCCCTGGCCGGGAACTCTGCTCGCGCGCGCACCGCGTCCCCCTTTCCCCCTCCTTGGCGGGTACTCACGGTGGCGGGAAGGCGACGTGCTGTTGGGGCTGGTCATCGCCGAAAGTGCCGGGAGCCGGCGGTGGCAGAAGCAGAGGGCACGGGAAGCGGGTGGCGAGGGTCGCGCTCCTGTGGTGGCCCGGACCGGCCACCGCGGGGAGGGCGCGGCACCTGTGTCACACCCCTCTGGCGCGGGCCGCGGGGAGGGACTCTGGTCTCAGATAGGCAGGCTTCATTTATTTATTTATTTTTTTTCTGCAGCCTGGGCTGATGGGGTTTCCACCCTTTTTTTTTTTTTAAGCACATGCACCCGCCCACTTTTGAACTCTTCTAAGAGCCAACTTTCTGCGCAAGAATCACATTTTTTTTTTTTTTCCTGTTCCTGTTTCTGTCTGCAAATACCAGATACTAAGGCTGTGGTTAAGAATTCCCCTGTGCTTGGACTGTAAAACTCCCAGATGTGACAGAATGGCCTGCCCAGGGGCTGTCAGGGACAGTGACCAAATAGGGACAGACCTGTATTTGAATGTTGGCTGGCTGCTCTGTCACAGGATAGCAGATGGTCTCGTCACCTCAGGAGCTGAGCGTGGATAGCCTGGGAAGAGTTCCAGCCTTGCCTGCCCCTCAGGGCACTGTCCCAATCCGTGGGTCAACATTTGGGAAAGATTCTTAGAAAAAAAGTTTGCTGGACAAAGGTCATGTGATTTATTAGGATGACCTTTGTTAGAGGCTTCCAGATCTAATGGAGAATTCACTTTAGTTAAAACTGGACATGGAGGGCCTCCCTGATATTAGGGGTTAAGTCTCAGTGCTATCAGTGTTCCTGCCTGAGTTCTATCCTGGGTCCACACATGGCACAGCAAATCTCTCCTGTTTCACCTGCTGCTCCCCTCAGCAGTGTATTTCAGTAGATGTGTCTGTTCTGCTCCCCACTCTGTCTCTGGTGAATTCTCTCACCCCTCACACCTCTGGCCAACACCCCAGTTCTAGTATGCATCAATAAAAATAAATTAGTCTTAAAAAGTAATAACAAAAAAATTGGACATGGCTTTTTTTTTTTTAAATAAAGATTTCTTTATTTATGCATACAGGAACTGGGATGTAGGCCAGAGGGTGCAGGGAGGGAGGTCGGGGGAAGGAGTGAGAGGCTTTACCACAGACAGAGTGGGGAGCAAAGCAGGAAGATTGACCTAGGGGAGCAGCGGGAGAGACAGGAGAGGTTTGCTGCATGGGTGTCATCTCTTTGGCCAGGGATAGAACTCTGTGCTGCAGTGGCTGGCAATCCCTTGATAGCTCTGTCTTTAACTCCTGTGCCACAAGGGAAGCCCATAGACATGGCTTTTGACACCAGTTATTTGAATGGATTTTCCCTATGCTATTTGCAAAGAATATTATATATTATCTGTAATATAATTATTCTATCCTCTCCCATCCTAGTCCAAAAAAGAGAAAGTGAGGGCTCTTGAGAAGTGAGAACCTTGTTCTACATCCAGCCCCAGGAGCACACCCTGCTATTCTCAGGTATGATGCCTCAGCCCTCCCATGGGGCTTTCCATTGTTTACTTGACAGTTCTCCAATAAACTGCTGTGACCCCTCCTCTCTCTCTCCATTGAGGTTGCTCTTCTGGGATCTGTGGGGCCAGCGAGGGGGGAACTGCGTATGTGTGTGTGTGTGTGTGTGTGTGTGTGTGCCGGGGCACCATGCCAGCTGTCTTCACAAGTGTGCCCTTGGGTGGACCATTCACATGGACACAAGTGGGAGCTGCCCCCTGGAGGTGTGCACTGCAGATAGCTGCCCAGCTTTAGGTGGGCTGGCCAAACTCCAAGCATCTTTGTTAGAACTGCCTGTTTGACAGAGTGGGAAAGTATTCATAATTCCCTTAGATAATGAAGAACCCCTTACTGCTGACAGAGTTTTAATCAAATCCCATCTTGGTATACACATGATTTGAACTGAGCTATTCACAGAATGCTTTTGTCCAGACATGGAAACTTTTGAGTGGTTTTGTGATCTCTAAACATACATTCCAGAGTTTTAGAGAGAGTGGGCCAGGAAAGAAGATAGCAGTGATTTAATAGAAGCTATTAATGTTTACGTAACAGTTGAACATTTTGTCTTGTAATAAAAGAGGTGGATAATAGTATCCCTAATGTTCCGAGTTCATAAATAAAACATCTTCAATTATCTGAACTGCAGCTGGAGAGCTGGAAGGAGGCCAAAAGATACCCCACAACCCCTAGGAAATCAGAGAACAAATCATCAGTCATTGTACCTCACTTTTGGGAGGACTTCTTGGAGGATCATTTTCAGGCTTTTAGACATAATCATAAACAGTTTATTGAATTTCGTTGGGTAGGACCGGTTAAAAATGCCAAACTGTAATAAGAATTCCTTAGGAAACAAAGCCAAATTAACTAGCTCACTAACTAACCAGATAACTAACTGATCAACAAAGGTAAGAAGTCCTAAAACTACAAAGGTGAGGCATAAGAACAAAGTCACATTTATTACACAGCAGAAACCTCTGGGCTTCAGCCATAAGCCAGGATGACTGTCACCTGGTCTAGCTGCCTAGGAGGCAGGTCTGGAAATTTCATTTAGGTTTGAACTTGTATTGCCTCTTTCTAGGTAAAATTCAGCATTTTACTTAACTTTCCTGAGCCTCAATTTTCTCATCTATAAAACTGGAATGAACTGGAGATAGGTTGTTGTGAGTAATATATTAAGACAATCAATCATTAATGGTGTAATTACACTGTTTCCTCAGCACACATGTGACTATAATGATCTTCCCCTCACAGGCACATTGTTTATAGTCTGAACTCTAGGCCATTCTGAAAAGAAGGCAGAGAATGTTTAATAGTGATCAGTAGTTTACCTAGCAGGAAAACTGTTGGTACATTTTGGAAGATTAAATCATGGATGAGTCTAATTTAAAATAATTGAGACAAATTTTAAGGAGTATATATATATATATATATATATATATATATGGCAGGTAGGAATCTGACTTTAAGTCTCAGAAACTCAGTATTTATTCATGAATTGACTATGTATTAATGGAGTAGAAAGAACTCACCTATATCATGCAACAACAACAAAACCATTTATATCTCATTGAATTCCCTTAAATAAATTAAAGAGGGCACAGGTATTGCTGCTATCCCAAAGTGTAGCTTTCCTTTGAAATGTTTTATAGGCCAAAATGGTTTAAATAAAAGAAACAATTACCATTAATTTATATGGAAACATTGTTGAGTCTTTTCAGACCCCAAAATTTATTTATGAAGCCATAACAAATAGCACATAAAACCTAAGTAACACCAACATATCGTAAAACAGGGCTGTTATAAAGACTCAGCCTGCATAAAGTATTTCTAGGGAAGGTGCTGGTGGGGATAATCTTGCTGCTTGGGGTTCTGTTGCCTCCAGACGCACTGTTGTAAAACAAATACTGACTGCTCTTTTCATTTTTCACCTTTAGTTATACAAGGAAAAATCCTCTTTGGCTTTCTTTTATTAACAAAACAGTATTGATGTAGGTTGTTTGTAACCGTGAAGTGATGTAAGGTGAAAAGCAAGGGAATCCTGTGACATGCAAGTATCTGTAATATAATTATTCTATCCTCTCCCATCCT